AGGACGCCCAGATTTGATTCAATTAAAGACTATAGTAACCTTTCTTATCTATAGTCTATCGCACTGTATAAAACGAAATTATGCACCATAACGCTCATAGGGTATCCCAGGGCGCCAAATCGAACCATGTCAAGGCGCCGGCGGACGCGCCTGATTCAATATAGTGAACGACTATAATACCCCAAGCTTATCCGCAAACGGGAAGATAGAAGTAAACATAGAGATTATTTAGGAGCTGGCTTCTAAACTGTTATTGATTTTTTTTTTTTAAATAGTAAACATTATGTTCAGTGTATACAATAAAAAAAAAGGCAGTATTTAAAATTATCTGTTTTACTTACCACATTTCACTTGATCAATCCACGCTAATTATGTATTTTTTTCCTAACACCAAAACAAAGTAATAAAATGTATTTTTCCCCCGATGTAATGTTTTTAAAGGGAAGTAATTGTGTTTTCCTAATATATCAAGGGACTAAATGTCATGTCATGTCATGTCATGTCATGTCATGTCATGTCATGTCATGTCATGTCTTGTCATGTCATGTCATGTCATGTCATGTCATGTCATGTCATGTCATGTCATGTCATGTCATGTCATGTCATGTCATGTCATGTCATGTCATGTTATGTCATGTCATGTCGTGTCATGTCCTGTCATGTCATGTCGTGTCATGTCGTGTCATGTCGTGTCATGTCATGTCATGTCATGTCATGTCATGTCGTGTCGTGTCATGTCATGTCGTGTCGTGTCGTGTCGTGTCGTGTCGTGTCGTGTCATGTCATGTCATGCCATGTCGTGTCATGTCATGTCATGTCATGTCGTGTCGTTTTGTGTTGGATTGAGTTGGGTTGTGTTGTTTTGTGCTGGGTTGGGTTGGGTTATCTTGGGATTTGTTATGCTGGGTTGTGTTAGTGTTGTGCTGTGGTGGGTTGTGTTTGGGTTGGGTTGGATTGTGCAAAAAAGTTAATTAAATCCACAAAACGGTGGATTAAAACATGTTAAAATAAACTAAAAACATCCTAGAAATATTTTTCCTTAATATATTTTGTCTGAGATCATTTGTCCTGAGATCATTTGTCATGTCGCTATTTATCTTCAATCTTTTATGTACTCATCAATTTAGCCGAAGAGTAAATAATTAGGTGGTAGTGCCTTCAAGATTGTGTGGTTTGACGTCACGAACACAATGTGTGGGGTTTTTTGCAATATTATTTTTTCAAACGTCGCTAGTTGCATACAAGAATTCAAGCCAAATGTTCCTGCTTGCTTGTGTGTTTTTTCAAATGCCACGAGCTCTCTCATGTGTGAGATCAGCCTCTGGGAGTCAGCCCGGCTCTCTTCAGCGCCCCTGTGAGCCCCTCCACCCACCACTAGCCCTGACATTTTCACTTGTCAATATTTTTCATAAGAATGTATTTGTTAGTCTAGCACTTCTCATCCAGTAACATTGGAGTTTTGAAACTTGCACTGCACAGTTAAAGGGTTACGTCAAATTGAAGCTATCGCACTTTCCCGCATGCCCCCAGCATATGCCATAGAAGCGGCTAATTCAATCAACTTTAGGATACACACTTGTTGTTTTGCTGCTTTTGCATCTGGAGATTGTAAGAAAGATATCCGGCAGTTATGCGAAGTTTTAAAAACGTTCATTAAAAATAATTTCATTGTTTTTCATTTTGCTTGTAATTCTAGTGTTTAAAGCCAGGTTCATATATAAATATATATATATATATATATATATATATATATATATATATATATATATATATATATATATATATATTGGGATCAATGTAAGCACTTGCAGGTGGAGTGGGGTGCTCAGACGACCAGGGTAGGGTTTGACTGGGTTTTTCAAAAAACAAAGTTTCCATGCTTGACAAATTTTCTAAAATGTCAGACAGAAATCGCGTTGTGGATGTAGTGTGATGATAAGTTGTGGCGGTGTGGATGTAGTGTGGTGATAAGTAGTGGCGGTGTGGATGTAGTGTGGTGATAAGTAGTGGCGGTGTGGATGTAGTGTGGTGATAAGTAGTGGCGGTGTGGATGTAGTGTGGTGATAAGTAGTGGTGGCGGAAGGTAGATCAAACACCTGTATGTCAGGATGACAATATCCACACAAGTTGCTGCAAGCAGACGACTAAAGACGAGTGACCAATTTGACAAATATTTCAACTTGCTGCACGAATTTCGTGCAACTTTTTATTTTTTACAAGATCGCGAATTTCGTGAACTTTTTATCTTTTACAAGATCGTGAATTTCGTGCAACGTTTTATCCTTTACAAGATTGCGAATTTCGTTCAACTTTTTATCTTTTAAAAGATCGCCAATTTCGTTTTGTGTTTTCACAAATTATAATTTTGAATAAAGATACCACATTTTAAAATTAGGCTAAATGGCAACGTATTTTGTGTGGTGTTTACCATCACCATAGTGATGTGTTTGTATAACAAAAGTTTTTACCACAGTTCACATGTTTCAGTGAATTCAGTAAATGAATTGATAGTGTTCTGAATAAGAATTTTTGTTGGAAATTAAATGACATCTAATATTTGCAGATTTGAAAGCATCCGGTTCAGGCAAGGAGAGGGGTGGGCGCCACCAAGCGACACTAAGCCCTAGACACACCACTCTGTGGTGCCCCAACGACCCCTACAAGAGGTTAAAGGATGATTTAGATTTATTTACATCGTTTGCAGTCAAATTTCAGACAACGAAGCTTGTACACAACACATTTTAAACATAAATAACTAAACATTCAACTGGTAAAGCAAAATAAAATATTCTATTCCGGCAGTTTACATTGACCTAAAACTTTAATTAAATAATTTTTTTCATTTTTAAAACCACCATTTTGTGTGTATTAGCCAACACCACGGTAGAGCACTAGTTGGCCCTCTAGATAGAGTACTAGTTGGCCCTCTAAATAGAGAACAAGGTGGCCCTCTACATAGAGCACTAGTTGGCCCTCTACATAGGGCACTAGTTGGCCCTCTACATAGTGTAGAGCACTAGTTGGCCCTCTACATAGTGTAGAGCACTAGTTGGCCCTCTACATAGTGTAGAGCACTAGTTGGCCCTCTAAATAGAGAACAAGGTGGCCCTCTACATAGAGCACTAGTTAGCCCTCTACATAGAGCACTAGTTGGCCCTCTACATAGAGCATTAGTTGGCCCTCTAAATAGAGAACAAGGTGGCCCTCTACATAGAGCACTAGTTAGCCCTCTACATAGGGCACTAGTTGGCCCTCTACATAGTGTAGAGCACTAGTTGGCCCTCTAGAGAGAGAACAAGGTGGCCCTCTACATAGAGCACTAGTTGGCCCTCTACATAGGGCACTAGTTGGCCCTCTACATAGTGTAGAGCACTAATTGGCCCTCTACATAGTGTAGAGCACTAGTTGGCCCTCTACATAGTGTAGAGCACTAGTTGGCCATCTAGATAGAGAACAAGGTGGCCCTCTACATAGAGCACTAGTTGGCCCTCTACATAGTGTAGAGCACTAGTTGGCCCTCTACATAGGGTAGAGCACTAGTTGGCCCTCTACATAGTGTAGAGCACTAGTTGGCCCTCTACATAGAGCACTAGTTGGCCCTCTACATAGAGCACTAGTTGGCCCTCTACATAGAGCACTAGTTGGCCCTCTACATAGAGCACTAGTTGGCCCTCTACATAGTGTAGAGCACTAGTTGGCCCTCTACATAGAGCACTAGTTGGCCCTCTACATAGTGTAGAGCACTAGTTGGCCCTCTACATAGAGCACTAGTTGGCCCTCTACATAGTGTAGAGCACTAGTTGGCCCTCTACATAGAGCACTAGTTGGCCCTCTACATAGAGCACTAGTTGGCCCTCTACATAGAGCACTAGTTGGCCCTGTACATAGAGCACTAGTTGACCCTCTACATAGAGCATTAGTTGGCCCTCTACATAGAGCACTAAATGGCCTTCTACATAGAGTACTAGTTGGCCCTCCACATAGAGCACTAGTTGGCCCTCTACTTAGGGTAGAGCACTAGTTGGCCCTCTACATAGGGTAGAGCACTAGTTGGCCCTCTAGATAGAGCACTAGTTGGCCCTCTACATAGAGCACTAGTTGGCCCTCTACATAGAGCACTAGTTGGCCCTCTACAAAGTACGCTAGTGTGACAGGCCTGTGTGATTAGTTAATGTAGCCAACAAAAGGAATAATAACTCATTTTATAGACAGTGGTACGTATTTGAGAATTGTGTAATTCTTGGCAGTTTTAACTAAACAAAAGTGTAGGATATCTGTTACTATATGATTACACAAAAGTGTAGAATATCTGTTACTAAATGATTGCACAAAAGTGTAGAATATCTGCTACTATATGTTTAAAAAAAGTGTAGAATATCTGCAACTATATGATTACACAAAAGTGTAGAATATCTGCAACTATATGATTACACAAAAGTGTAGAATATCTGCAACTATATGACTGCACAAAATTGTAGAATATCTGCTACTATATGTTTAAAAAAAGTGTAGAATATCTGCAACTATATGATTACACAAAAGTGTAGAATATGTGCAACTATATGACTGCACAAAAGTGTAGAATATCTGCTACTATATGTTTAAACAAAAGTGTAGAATATCTGCAACTATATTATTATTATTTAAAAATTACGTTTAAACTTTTTCTTTCAGTCCCGCGGGAAATGACGCGAGGGGGGGGGGGGGAGAACAATAGAAGTTTCTAGATTTTCTTTGAGTGTCTGAGCCTGATAAAATAAACAAAAGGTCACCAAGGGTCTAGATGTGGGGAGGGGAGGGGTGGGGTGGGTAAAGGAGGTCAGGACGAAATGGTGGGACCAGGGGGCGGAGTTAGACGAAAATGACAGGGAAAATTGCAGAAATTCACAGGCGACTGAGCACAAGATGGAGATTTGCGTGGAATTGGTGACGGGGGGGGGGGGGAGAGAGAAATAGTGGGGAGTGGGGTGATATTTGAGTTTAAAACTTGTTATGGGAGCGAAAACTGATGTAGTTGTACATTGAAGGTTGAAACACACACCAAATAGTTTACTGAACTCTGGTACACGTTATTTCAAGTTTTCTATTTAACAAAGATTTTACTCAATCGTCAATGTAATATAAACTTTATAATACCATTCATTTAATGAAATAGGTTGTCTTTTAAATTTTATTTCATACAATAAATTGATTAATACATTTATATTTAATCTTTTAAAATAACAAATTGAATTTTATCATATACATTAAAGTCTGCCCCGTTTGTAAATGAGTGAACTAAAGAAGACAAAAATACAGATTAAGTTTAGACCATGAGCTTCTGTGGAAATTCAACATTTTGGGTGAGTATTTGTGTTTTTTTGTTGCTTCGTTGGGTGTTAAATAAAGATGTTAATTAAAGTATGCCACCATCAGAGGCGTAGCGTTCTTCCCGGCGCCCTGGGATTTGCACCCCCCCCCTCGAACTTTTTATTTACACCCCCACCCCCTCAAACTTTCAATTTGATTTCCAACCCATTTTGGCGCCCCCTAGGGTCGGCCCCGGGGACATATATTCCCCCCCCCCCCGCCTCGTCCCCCCTCGCTACGCCTCTGGCCACCATGCCTTACCCTCCAGTATCACGTGATCTCTAACTGTAGATAAAATTAACGTGTAGGTAGCATGTTTTTGTAACTGCCGATAAACTTAATATTAAATAGATGTAATCTAACCAGTACCGCAAGTCCAACATCTTACCAACACGTTTACTTTCTTTAATTAAGGGGAAGCTATGATTAGAATTCCACAAATAGCCACTTATTTCCCTTCTCTGAATAATTGTACCTTATTTAAATATAAAGATCCGGAGTGGGGAAAATATAATATAAAATTTATATAGAAGATATATAATTCCTATATAGATAATAAATAACTTTTATAGAAAATATAATTTACATAGAAAATATATAATGGGTTTACAAAATATATGATTTATATACAAAATACATAATTTGCATAGAAAATATTTATTTTATTGAAAATCTATAATTTAATCAGTGCCCAACCCATCCTTCCCCTCCCTCTCCCCCGCCCTCCGGGAGGGAGTTGAATGCCCCCTCCCAGGTTAAAAATGTCTTTTGTAAAAGTTATAGCGATCTGCTGTTGTTTGGCTAAAATAATTTGGTAAAGAAGAGAAATAATTGCGTTATTACAACTTTCAACAAATTTAACCATAATTTTCGCTTTTGGTATTTCTTACCCTTAGCCCTTACCCTAAAATTGTTTTTTCCAACATCAATGTATGTCTGGTTCGTTTTATTTCTGCATTTATTCCTATTTTAAAATTATTTAAAACTTGTTTAAAATCAAAATGTGTTTCAATGATTATCAAACTGACTAATGTGTAAAAACGACCAATGTGTTTGCTATTGAAACGATGAGTTAATGACACACTACCTTCTGGTCAGGGGGGGGGGGGGGGGGTAGACTGTTAAATAATTACAGGACAGTTCGTAGGTGACGAATTCAGTTTCTGGATGAAGGAAAAATTACATGGCGGGAATTTGGGATGTTTTAATGCTGACTTGAAGAATTGGCCAATCGTTCGTAGGACATGAATAACCCTAACCCTAGCCCAAAAAAAACCCAAAAAACCCAGGCTTGCCATTACAACCAGTCTGAAAAATCAACAAAAAATGAATTATGATTTTTTTAAAGTTAAATTGTTAGTAGATTTTACATTTTACTACTAATGTAACTGTGAATTGAACGAATTATTTTTATTCTTTGATTAAGTTTGACTTCATATAAAAGTCGACGGTCAATTTTTTTTAAATTGTTTCTTGTAATATAGCGTTGGTTAAAACGGGACTTTTAGGTAGCGTTGGCTAAACGGGACTTTTAGTTAGCGTTGGCTAAACGGTACTTTTAGGTAGTGTTTGTCAAATGGGACTTTTGTGTGTAGTTAAGGTAGAAAGAAAGTCGAGTCCTATTGGTCCCATCTAGTTCAGGCAGAGAGTCGAGTCGTATTGGTCCCATCTAGTTCAGGCAGAGAGTCGAGTCCTATTGGTCCCATCTAGTTCAGCTAGAGAGTCGAGTCCTATTGGTCCCATCTAGTTCAGCTAGATAGTCGAGTCCTATTGGTCCCATCTAGTTCAGGCAGAGAGTCGAGTCCTATTGGTCCCATCTAGTTCAGCTAGAGAGTCGAGTCCTATCTAGTGTATAGGCCGTTATATAATTAATGTTTAATATAGAGTTGAGAGTTTTTATTCCCACTTAAACGTGTTAGAAAGGTCAGTTAGTGAGGTCATTTCATGTTAGTGTGGTGAGGTCGTGTTAGTTTTGTAACGTTACACCGACGTGCACAGAGTGGTGCCCTCGCTGCTTCAGCCATGCGGAGCAGGTTCAGCCACATGTAAGAGAGGAACGCTCTAGTACACAAAGTGATGATTGGGTGAACTGCTTCAGTACACAACGTGATGATTGGGTGAACTGCTCCAGTACACAACGTGATGATTGGGTGAACTGTTCTAGTACACAAAGTGATGAAAAATGTTACAGAAGTATCTTCAACACAGCTGAAATATACATTGGTTTATATATATATATATATATATATATATATATATATATATATATATATATATATATATATATATATATATATATATATACATATATACATATATATATATATATATATATATATATATATATATATGTATATATATATATATATATATATATATATATATATATATATATATATATATATATATATATATATATATATATATATATATATATATGTATATATATATATATGTATATATATATATATGTGGGTGTGGGTGTGTGGGTGTGTGTGTGTGTATGTGCGTGTGTGTGTGTGTGTGTGTGTGTGTGTGTGTGTGTGTGTGTGTGTGTGTGTGTGTGTGTGTGTGTGTGTGTGTGTGTGTGTGTGTGTGTGTGTGATTGCAAAAACTTCACACGAAGGTGTAGTTCAGTTTGGCAGTCAAGTGTGTGTTTGACATGAGACCCCGAGCGATTCATCTAATAACCCCCCGTGAACATGAAAAAAAAACCTCAGTCATTCGGCGGAGTTTTTAAAATGATAACATCTTTATCGAGCTAACTATTTAATCAGACATAATTGAGTTCACTTCATATTAGGATCAGTACAGTTAGTTTATTTCCTCACTCGCTTGTGAGTTCTGGTGGGAAAATCGACCCAAAAAATTATAAATATAATTTCCGTGTCGATAAATCGAGTGCAGACTGTAACCGTGTCGCACTCGGGAGTTGAAAGTTGGTGTGTGGCTCAGGCTTGATATGGCTTTTCCTGACTCTTAGTTTATTTTTTGTTCCATTTTTTTTTAAATGTTAGGTTCTGCGAGTTCAAACAATTTAAGTGTCAGAAGGTAAGCAGACGGTTGTGGAGCGAGCGAAGGCGCAACTTGTGTGAGTGTAGCGTCGTCCTGTGTGCGGTGGGGCATGAAGCGAGAAACCACCGGCCGGGTCTCGGGTCAGCCGTGGCTCGCTCTACCGTCTGCTTGTCGTCCAGTGCTGCTCGTTTCGAAATGTCATCTTGACATTAGGATATAGGTCGTCATGACCTGGCCGCTGTTTCGTTCACTTTAACCACTGTCATTTCTACAGGCTTTTTACAAGCTTTTATTTAGTTCGCAACATCTGTTTGTTTGTGGCAAGTCATTTTGACCCACTTCTAATGCAGCGATTTCGTTCAAACTTTCCAGATACTTTCCACTTTGATGACTATACATGTTTATCTATTTGTTAATTTAATTAGATGTTTAATTAGTCATTAAAAATTAATTAAACGGTTTTGAAACTAACCATAATCAATAACAGAAGCGGAGATAACAAGATAACACCCGACCAGTCTGGTGAGCTGTGGTCCACGGGAATATTTACAATCGTAGAGCCGGTCGATCTAGTGAAGGCTATTAGGGGCAGATAATAAAATGTTTTAAACGATTTGAAACTAAGGGGAGGTAACACGATTATTGCCCTGGACAATTCGGCCCCGTTAAAACGGCCCCGTTAATATGACCCCGTCAAATCGACCCCCGACAAAACGACCCAGTCAAAATAGCTCCGTCAAAAGGGCCCCGGCTTATTGGCTCCAGTCAAATATGCTCCTGTCATATTGACGCGGCATATAGGCTCCCGACAAATGAGCTACCGACATTTAGGCTCCCGACAAATGGACTCCCGACATATTGGCTCCCGACATAAGGGCTCACGACAAATGGGCTACCGTCAAATGGGCTCACGACATATTGGCTTCCAACAAAATGACTTAGGACATATTGGCTCCTGACTAATGAATGGCATGACCACTATTGGCATAAAAGTAACCATTGTGTCCTACCTCCACTATCACTATAACCTCTTTTAAATACCTGAATGAAATTATTTTTCATGAACCAACATCAATTCACAAACAAATCGAGCCCTTAACAGCTAAATTCCACCAATTCTAAAGTTTTGATAATGTTTATTTTTTTTTACAACAGTAAAGATGAGTTGCATAAAAGCGAGCACAGAAGTGTAAATGTATGATATAGATCTACGTGATGTTTACAGGATAATGGCATTTTGTCTTGATAACCTACAAGCATACTGCAGGTAGGGATAACCAGGGACCCATCTCCCCACACACTGAATTGGAACAGCCTATAACCGACTCATTTATGCAAGTCATAGATACTATATATACATATAATTCTCTTCTTGGATACCCTAGAAAACACCAAGCTGTAAGCGCACCTAGCAGCCCCCTCTCTTCCTCTCTAAGCATATCTTTACCACCCCCACCCCCGCATGGTCTGGTGAGCTGTGGTTCACGCTAAATGTTTACAATCGTAGAGCCGGGTTTAGTGACGGCTATTAGGAGCAGATAATTTAGTTTGAAACAATTTTAAACTTAAGGGAGGTAACTAAGAGGAGGCTGCTTTCACGGGGGGCGGGGGGGGGGGTAGGGTAAGGGTTGGCGGAAAGGAGGGGGGGGTTATCGTCCTTAACGACTTACTGATAGTGTTCTAAAGCAAATATTTTCAGTGGCAGCATTGGTACTGTCGAATTCACAAATTATGAATTACTGAAAAGTAGAAAATAAAACAACTAAATAGCGGCGCATGATAGGCCGCGGGTTGGCTCATTTTTTATAATAGATAAACAATTATAATAAAAATAAGGCCTGCCGAACAAGAGATGCATACGTTGTATTACATAAGAGTGTTGGATAAGCTAACTCTAAAGAATATTGATGAAGGGGTCCCACTGGCAGATGTCATATTTAATGAGCCCGTTTTGCCGGGAGAATTAGTCTCTACAGAAACCGTATTTTTAGTGGTCCTTTAGTCGGGAGGCAAATTGACATGAGCCTATTTGTCGGGAGTCGTGATGACGGGGGCCGTTTTGTGGAGAAACTAAATGGCGGGAGCCTGTATGTCGAGAGTCTTATTAACCGGCGCCCTTTTGTCGGGATCCTATATAACGGGAGCCTATTTGTCGGTAGCCTAAATGACGGGAGTCTATTTGTCGGGAGCCTATATGACGGGGCCATATGTCGCTGGCCCTTTTGACGGGGTCGTTTTGACGGGGCTCTTATGTCCGGGGCCGATTTGTCGGGGCTGTTTTGTCATTGACCATTTTGACGCTGCGCGATTTTTAGTCGTTTCGTCTTCATAAATTAGGAATCGCTAAAAAGTAGAAAATAAAACAAATATTTTTAAAAAAACTCTATAGCAACAAGCTTTTAAAATGCACTGAAAATATGAAAATAAAACTAATTTGCTTTCTTTCGTAAAAGCTTTGGTCGCAAGTGAGATCTTTCACACATAGCTTTTATGAAAGAAAGCAAATTAGTTGATGCTATTATCTTTTCACCTTGGTGCTGATTCATTTTTTGTGGTGTTTGATATTATGCAATATCTAGGTCTATGTAATGAAACAGAAATGAACAAGATCAAAATTCCTTTTATTAAAATCAAACTGGCGCTCCCCATTCCCAGCCCTACTAAGACATCCCCCCCCCCCCCGAGCCCCACCCCCATGCCACTGCATGTTCGTGTTTTATGCTGGAATATTTTGTGAAAGTCATCAGTCAAGCCCTTTTGTGAAAGTCATCAGTCAAGCCCGACACCAAAAAGAATGAGATGACATCTACATGTAAACACTTACAGCCAGATGAGCATGGGGGGAAGGGGATTTCCTGACAAAAACTGCAAATGTCGGTACTTTCCCTGGCTACTGCTCTGATGTTTTAATTAGAGTTGGCACGCCGTAATTATAAATGAGTTTGGCGGTGCATTCTGACAGTCGCAGCCTAACGATCCGGCCACATGCGGTAGTAGATGTGACGAGCTCGTGCCAGTGGCAGACGATAAGAAATTCCAGACAGCCACGTGGCTCGAGTTTTAGGACAGGTTTTTTATAGGCCACCTTGGCCACCTTGGCCTAAAAGAGGTCATCAGACGGCCCTAGTTTCGTTTCGCCTTAGTTAAATGCTATGCTCGACTTATTTTTTTCGTTTCTTCTAGCCCCACAAAATGTGAGGTTTGACTTATATGTTGCTCTACTTACAATATATACAAGAAGGTTATTCGCATAGTCACAGGTCACCAACTACTTCAGGTTGCGACCCCTTTTTAGTTTTTAAACTTACCCGTAACCCCTCCCTCCCTTATCCTGAAAAAACAAAGCCAAAAGCAGTGTAATTCAATTACGTTTATTTGAAATAGTATAATGAGATTGTTGTAATAAAATTGAAGCTGTGATTTGATGGTTTTGTCAAACATACACCCCTCCATCTTGCTGTCGACATTCACTTCTCATATATCTTACTTCGGCACCACCACCACCACCACCACATCTGCTCCACCACCACCACCACCACCACCTCCACATTTGCTCCACCACCACCTCCACAATTTGCTCCACCACCCCCACCCCCACCTCCACCAACTGCTCAACCACCACCACCTCCACATTTGCTCCACCACCACCTCCACCATTTGCTCCACCACCACCACCACCACCTCCACATTTGCTCCACCACCACCTCCACATTTGCTCCACCACCACCTCCACCATTTGCTCCACCACCCCCACCCCCACCTCCACCAACTGCTCAACCACCACCACCTCCACATTTGCTCCACCACCACCTCCACCATTTGCTCCAACCACCACCACCACCACCTCCACATTTGCTCCACCACCACCTCCACATTTGCTCCACCACCACCTCCACCATTTGCTCCACCACCCCCACCCCCACCTCCACCAACTGCTCAACCACCACCACCTCCACATTTGCTCCACCACCACCTCCACCATCTGCTCCACCACCACCACCACCACCACATCTGTTCCACCACCACCACCACCACCACCTCCACAATTGCTCCACCACCACCTCCACCATTTGCTCCACCACCACCTCCGCCATCTGCTCCACCACAACCTCCACATTTGCTCCACCACCACCTCCACCATTTGCTCCACCACCACCTCCACCATCTGCTCCACAACCACCACCTCCACCACCTCCACCATTTGCTCCACCACCACCTCCACCACCACCTCCACCACCTCCACTGTCTGCTCCACCACCTCCACCACCACCTCCACCATCTGCTCCACCACCACCTCCACCATCTGCTCCACCACCCCCACCCCCACCTCCACCAACTGCTCAACCACCACCACCACCTCCACATTTGCTCCATCACCACCTCCACATTTGCTCCACCACCACCTCCACCATTTGCT